CCCCCCCATACTCCTGAGCAAATTTCTCTAATTAAGCTGGCTAATTAATTCTCATTTACTAATGGTACTCCTATCAAAAAGGATGACTAGTCTGAGGGGCGAAGTGTGCCATCGACTGCTGTACTGTGAGGTGAAAATTAAGTTTCCCAGCTACGACGTGTGAAATGATTAACAGGTCTGCATCTCATTAGAATGCACTGCACACTGAAAATAGTGCTCAGCCTGTTCTGATACCCTAGGAACTGGCTGCTTTAAAAATCACTAACTTTTATGTTGATATTAATTATGTGCATTGGGAACCTGGGAAATAATGATTTGTTGGACAGCTTTTAATAATATATTTTAAGAGATTCCACCATCTAGGAATATGCGTTTTTCTTTCATATAAATCCCAAAATAAAACTAATTAGGTTTTCCAAGACAAAGGAATGACCCTCCAAAGTGTCAGCTGAATCTTGATATCTTTTAATTACTTTGTTTTTTCTTTTCTTAGATTAAAGGAAAGAGAAGGTAAAATAAATGCTTCAAAGTGTGGATAATTAATTCATGTCAAAAAACAAAGGCTGAAAAGCTCTTTATTATACTTAGACAAAAGTGCCCTCCATTTATATGTAGATGTAATATCTGCCCTGTCAAGCTGCATTTAAATTTTGATAATGAGGTTTGACGGATATGGCACATTTCCCTGAACTGTAATGGATATTGTTTTCCTGCTCTATATTAGAGCAAACCACAAGAGCCTTTACAAACACATACAGGCCCATAGCTCTTTACCCAGGCTGAGCTGATCTAGAGTATGTATACAATCCTGTGTATGTACGGATGACTAATGTCTTGGGGTGTGATTGAGGGTCTGCCTGCACCCGAGGTCAAAAGGGTGCATTGTAACTGTATTCACAGGGGTCGTGGAGGCCATCACCCCCTATGTCTGCCACAGTGACCTTTGACCCCAAGGATGTAGAGTGGGGCCGTACTGGCTCAGACAGAGAGAGGATCACTTTACAGCTGGACGCCAATCTTAAACCCACTCACATCACAGAGGGAACCAGAATCTTTCCCATGGATTTATGGACATAAATCAACTCCTTGCCCTGTCCTCGCCTGCAGCACGCAGCGGTGTCCTCTTACATGGTCTCACTCTAAGTCTTCCCACTCTGCCAGGGGAAATCCCATTCCTGGCATTAGTTCTGCTACACGTCGTTTTCCCTGGGTAATTACAGCAGCCAGAGTGTGATTGTGTGGAAGGGCTTCAAAAATCAACTAACTGCTCTATTGGTTGAAAATAGATGAATTACTTGTCCTTTGTGTTTGATAAGATGGTAAATATGGCTAAACCTGAGGTGAAGAGACTCGAGTCAAGAGCTGAAACTGCCTCAAATGAGTTTGATTTTTCAATTCATGTAAACCACTTGTAGAGAACAGCGGGCCAGGGGGACATCTGGGACGGTTATGAGTATGTTGACAAGAGGAAATGGGGGTCACAGCAAATGGCAATTACGCATGCAGAAGGCAGTTCAGCACAATTAAAACTAATGAGCCTTCAGCCCTAAAACCTGCACACAAATTAGTGATTTTCTGCCACATGTAATCCAGATGGAAAAGTGCAGTCATTACTGAGCTAATACCTAAAGTCATTTTATACAGTGCTTCTAAAAGATGTGAAGTCTTTCAGCAACTGACCAGTTAAGTTTAAGCAGATACTTTCACTTCATATAGGAAACCATTTTAACAAGATTATTGGTGATATTCTGTGCAAAACAAATCTGTTATGTCAGTTATATCAGTTATGTGTGCATGGTTAGGACATTCACAAACATGGGAATGTAGCAACACATCACACTTAAATGCTGATTTAGTGAGGGCATACACACTCTTCACCACTCAAATAAAAAACAATCGGTTCCCTAATAAAATCCGATAGACAAGTAGAAAGATAACAATAGATATATATATAACCACATAAAAGGAAGTGGATGAATGGACGGATGGATGATGGATTAATGGACTGACAGATGGAAAGGGGGGGGTAAATAATGGGAATGACGCTGGACAATGTGAACACCAACACCCACCATGGTGGTGCTGGTCACAGCTTGTCTGTCCTGGCGAGGGCTGAGCTGTCTGGGAGGGAGACTCCAGCTCCTCCACCACGGGAGGGCTGGTGTTGAGCTGCCCGACAGGAGGGGGCCACGGTAGGTCCTTGATCACTTTAATCTCTACTGCGAGTGTCGCCCAAGTCACCAGAGGAGAGATGGAGGGAAGAGGACAGCAACGAGAGGCAATAATGGACAGTGACAAAGGGAGCGAGCAAAGGGAAGTAATGACAGAACACAGAGAGGAAAAAAGAGAAAAGGAAGAATGTGTAAGTGAAAAATAGATAAGAGCAGAAGATGCCAGCATTGGAGTAGAGAGCTGGTTTATTTTGTGATCCAAGAATCAGAAGTAGCTGTGGACTAGAAAAGGCAAAGGAACACAACAGGACTGAAAAACAAGTGAAGTTAGTTTACCAGAAAGTAGGGTTGGGTTCTGATAGCGGGCGCCATTTTGGATTTGGTTCCAGGTTAATTAAAATGCCTGGGTTTCTACAAGAAATAAGGGCTAATGGTGAAAGGTTCATTACAAACATTAAAAGCTCTACTGTGATAAGGGATTTGGAAGGATTCAGACTGAATAAGTGAAATGCATACCCGATTCAGAGTCTATAAAATGCTATCGAACCCCAACCCTACCTGAAAAATTAGTACCTCTGACCTCTAAATCCAGACTGCCTAAAACAATCCTATTACAAGAAGTAATGCGTTTTTCTGTATGACAGAATTTACTAAAGAGCCAGGCTGAAATAATGCAATGCCATGCCTTCAAAGTGGAGACAATAAAATATAAAGCCGCCTTGAGCTCAGCTGCAGATAGTCCCTGATACAGTACATCAGCATACACTCTGCTGTCATTCTTAGTGCTGAGTTTGAGAAAAAGACCGTAGGCCTCTATATTAAGATATACAACAATGTGAACAATATCCTTTACTGGATGAATGTACCTCTGAGCAATCCATCCAGACAGTGGACACTCCCCAGGCTTTGCCCCTTAAATAATGTATGCCTCAAGTCCAGGTGATGCATTACCAGGGTAAGTCAAGCACACTTTAAAAAGAATATCTGTCACTGTGCAAGGGACACTTGTTAAATAGCTGAGGGTACAAATGGGATGGAGACAGGATGTTTTTTCTGTCATCTAGAAAAAGCCAAAAGAAACTAAATTACATACAAATACAAGAACAAAATAGGAAAAGATATTCACACTTACAATAAAATATCAAGAGGTAAGATTAAGCCCAATTTGACTCTAGAAGAAGTGAAGTCAAAAAGGTCACCTTCTTTATTAAATTACATTTCATGCTGGCGAATAAGATTGAAATAAATTGAAATTGGCAAAAAAAAAAAAAAAAGCCTTCAGTGGTAGCCTACACTTCTATCTATCAGAGTGCTCTGAAATCATCAATGTGACAGCTATACTGCACATCGTCACGTAAGGGCGGTGATGGCCTTATTTGACTCAGGAGGAAGTGGGCAAAAAGGAGGAGAGTAGCAACAGATTGGCAGATGTATAACAGCCAGCAGATACTGGATACAGGGACACTTTGGGACACGTCAATAAGTTGTTGAAGACTTTAAAACTTTAAGACCTTTAAAATCTGTTTTTGTCTCTGCGACCTTGATCTTACTTTTACTGTTTACGATAACATTTACTGCACAATTAATTACCTACAGCAGAAAATGTTAACTTTTAGTTTAGGACTCAAGATTGTAACTAAGTCAGAGAGACACATTTTAACATCTAAAGATAGTTGACGAAGTGCTACTTCAGCTGCCTAACATGAGAAGAATGCAGCTGTTGTCATAACCATTAGTGTGTCACTGCGTTGCTATACCGACTGGTTCCCAGTGGGAGGATGAACATAATGTTATGGACTTGTCGGTCTTCCACCCTACAAGGAATTGCAGCGGTGATGGTACAGGACATGCTAATGAGAGGCAATATCTGCGAGCTAGATGAAGGTGGAAACTGGAGAATATTCAATCCGACAAGCAATTAAATAGCTGGGCCTGAAGTGTCAGGGGGCTAATCTAGAAAAAGGTGGTTGGAAGGAGGAGCTGCTTCCTGTCTATCCTGATGGGAGAGGTGTTGGGTGGTGGACCGGTGGGGCTGGAGGGTGGGGGAACGGAGACAGAAGGTTAGAAACTCTGGGAGATAATATAACTTCCACTACTTTGGGGTGAAGTAGGGGACTCTCTTCCTATGAGATTAAAAGCCTAATACTCATTTCACATTGCAGATTAGCGTGTAATTGTTTTGGGAGCAGAAGGCTGCCTGCACTCTGCAGCCTTGCTGCGAGGACGAGGAGACGATTTGGGCGAATGTGGCTCAGATTCGCTTGGTTGCACAGCTGAATAATAGCATTTAGCACTGTGAAAATTGAAGTAAACTGATTCAATAGCCAGGTGTTTTGGGTTTTTTTAAAAACTCAGGGTGACTGGAATCTCGCTCACCTTGTAACGTATTCAAAAGTACAGCCAGTCCCTAGGCCCTCGTGAATAATCATTGATGCCATGTTGCCTCATGGATGAGTGCATCTTTACACCTTGTAGCACTCTTCAGTGACAAATTCAAATTCAGGACTAAGGTGACAACAGCAGTTGCCGTCACACCCAAGAGTTGATTTACACATAAACCCTGAAGGCTTATCACACTGACATTCTCACATATCTGCCCCCATCACACTGCACTTCATGAAACATATACACACAGCGCTAAATAAACCTGCTTACAGCTTTACTGGCTGATGCAGATTGCAACTGATTATCAGCTCTGTGGATGGTACTGCGTGTGAACAACAAGTGTTTTAGAGCCTGGAGGTGAAGATCAGGTAGGAAATGTAAATTACACTCACTGTGATTTCTAAGTCATAATGACTGATTAATTGGAAAATATTCTGAACAAAAAAAGATTCTGTTTAAATATAGAATTATTAAATGCAATTATTATTGGTAGCAAAAAACACAGATTTCATGCAGAGTCAAATGTGTCAGTGCTGATTTTGAAAAGATCTGTATATATACCTAAAGATTACTAAATCTTTGTCCTCTAATCTGATTGCATTTGGATCAATATGCCATCACTCATCAGACTGACAAAGCACCTGCCACTTAAGTTAACTACACACAAGTGGCCATGTTGAAACATTTAAAAACAGCGTCACGTTTCCTTAGCATGGGCATTCACTAACTCCTCGGGATGCGGCTGATTAATTATTTGTTTCACAGCTATGTTGAGAGTACAGTTCATCAAAAGAACCAGAGAGTGTAGGAACAATGGACAAGGGATCCTTTTCTATCTGTGTTTACCTTCCCTTTGTTCTTCCAGGAGCAGATCTATTTTTGAAGCCAGGTATTTGTTTACAGGCTTTTCATTAGCCCATGGCACTTCATCACCGTAAACACTGCAGCACCATAAATCACCAGCTATGCTTGTTTCCACCAACGCCATTTAATTTAGTTCTGCTTAATTTGGTTGGCTAATTGCATGCATATTCAAAACAAGCTGGAAGATTGTGATGTTTATGCCGCACATTGTGAGCAGAAGAGCTTAGAACACAAAAACAGCCTCTTCTGAAGACGTGTTTGTTCCATCGGCACCCAAATCATTACAGATAACAACTGTGTAATGCTCCAGGGGAACTGAAATGCCACCTCATAATTCTCCGCATACTGTATCCGGCGCATTATACGGTCCGGCTCTCTTTCAAAGCACAGATCTGTTTTGAAAGTCTGTGTGTTTGCATTAAAAATGAAAGTGGTGCAGAAAATAGGTGATGGAGATGAGATGACAGCAAGGCCTTTTTCCCTGGTCTTCTATCAGGAGACAGAAAGAAGAGACCTGTTATTGACTGCCGGCCAGCAGGAGCTTCCAGGCTGGAGGAGAGCTGCTTCTATACTTTGTGAGGGAGGTTTACAGTGAGCTGTTGTGTGTGGCCAATGTGTGTGAGTGAAGATAAGACCTGTGGCAGCGCTCGGTGAAAGACGGCAGGACACATTTGAGGCTCATGAAAGAGGGCTGTCAGGAAGGTTATCAGCAGGGTGTTGCAGCGGAGGCCAGGAGGACGAGACAGAGCAGGAGAGTGACAGACAGCATGGGGGAAACCGGATCAGCCACGCAGAGAGAAACAGAACCATGGCACCCATGAAACAGCTGGCCTTAATCCCCGGTGCAAATAACCAGCGCAGGACTGTAACTGAATCAATTATTTATTTTAGGACATTACACTTGAGCCTCAGATTTCTGTGTCGTTAAGCCTGTGAAGATTAATTAAAAAACCATAAAGCTACTCAAGACCTGAGGGAGCAAGCGGCAGCACCTTCTCTTATCTCCCGTGTTAAATGCGTGGTACCCCGCTGGCCGGGAGCCAAGCGAAAGGAGTTAGTAGCAGGTAACAGAGGGCAAGGAGATTAAGTAACAATGGCTCTCGATCCCATTCCTGCTGTGATGAGGCTCAGATTTCCGATGGCGGCGTGTCCATGTCTGGGTGTGTGAGTGAGGCTTACACTGATGGACATGCGAGCGCACTTTCTCTTGCCCTCACATGCAGGCTTCTTCATATGGTCAAATTCTAATGTGTCTCCCTCACTCTTCACCTCCAGGCTCATCCATCACCTACTCAGCAGCCGGGAGGGAGGTAGGGAAGAGACAGTGGCGAGTGCGTGTGTGTGTGGGGGTGTGAGGGTGGGGGGCAGTGAAGATGAGTGATTAACCAAACCGCAAGTACACAGCCTCCCAACACTCTAACAAGGCACGGAATTTACATTCCATTGCATACCTGTCAGGAGATAGCCCAACAGTGAATAATAACACCAGGCCAAGTGTTGTGAAGAGGCGAGCATGCAGACAGTGATAGGGACAGCTGAGGAAAAAGGGCTGCAGCATGGAGCATTAGTCTGCTCTCCTTCCCCCATCATTAATGAAGACAAATAGTCTTTTATGCAGATTGCATTATCACGTTATACCATGGTGGGAGGGCGTAGGCAGCACTTGGTACTTATTTAATCTCCCCGCCTCTTTTTCTTTCTTTTTGTACACACCCATTCCACGGTAAGGTTGTGCATATTTTTTCATTATCTGTTCATACTTTGTTTGCAGACACTTTCATTTCCCACATAATTGTCGGAATGTAAACCGTGAAGGTTTTGATGAGAGCAGGAAAGTGCCTCTGAAATCTGAACGGTGAACAGCATCATTAGTCATTGATATTACACAGCCAGCCACAGTGCTTCAGCACTATAGAAACATAACTGAGGAAAACTGCGCTCTAGAAACAGCACACGGAGCTGCAGTTAGGTTGACTTTAAAACAGTCTGCCCACAGAAGCGCTTGCATCAGGCCTGAAAATATTTTTACAAGTTAATTGCTGACATCTGGGGACACGGTAACACCACCACAATGGAGCCCAGTCGGGCAAACAACATGAGCAATCAGACACCACACAGGTTATTACAAAATCTCCAGTTCAACCATGTTATCTACAACACTTAACTGGCAATGAACTGAAATAAATGCTGCAACGCTGCAGTAGGCCAATGTTTAATCACAAAGTAGCTTTGAAAAATCTAATACTTAGAAATCTTACTGATCTGAACTGACCCATGGCGGAAAAAAGATTTAAATACATTTTTGTTTTTGATATATATATATTCACACCACTGTTTTGATTGGTAAATAGTCTCCAAACCAAACCAAGCTCACATCCAGCTTTTTTCCACTCACTCCAACAACTAAAAATAGTTCAGTAAATGTACCTCTGATGATGCTGGAACTACCAAACACACATGGCCCTGGTTGGAGAAACCAAAAATATCTAGTTACAGATTCCACTAAAAAAAAATATATAAAATTAGAGACTTTTAACCAGCCATGAAATCCAATCCCAACCTGAATTACACAACTACTTCAATAAACATGTCCAGACGTCTCAGTAAGCCCATGACCTTATGACTCCAGTCTAACATTTCATAAACTCCAAGTAACCCCGCTTTGAATATGGATGCATGACAATTCAACACTGCCACTATAAGAATTATGATACCAAAGACTTTAATGTTTTTAGAGAATTGATTGGATCAGAACTCATCGACATTGGTGTTGTGATTCAGCTTGACAGTGAGTACCCAGTGGTTCATATAGATGTTTAAGATGGGGAAGCCAAGGGTAACCGGGCAGCATCTGACGACTCTAGGTTGACTATATTTAAAATAGTGCCAGGAGGGATAAGACAGGGACGGCTGGTACAGCGGGATTATCGACAGTATAAAGAATTGTCTCAAAAGTGGATTTAAACGCTTAAATAGTGTATAATTTCTTGACATCAGAGGTAAGCTGGTTGCAAAGATCAGAGCCTTCAGTGCAGGCACATGCTGTAAGCCCAAGCCTTGAAAGGTGGGAAACTTTCTCTAAGCCCCTTGATGTCTGGATCCAAGGCCAGTCTACGCCGACACCTGCAAGAGAAACAAGCCTGTGTTGACAAGGCTTGTCCCATAGACGTCTTTCTCATCATTCTTCCTTTTTCTGTCATCCAAATAGTGGGGAATTATTCCTGCCTGAATTAAACATAACACAGAATGAAGACATGTAATAAATCAAAGTACTTTTTTGGGCTGTAGCTTTCTTCTTTGAAAGACAACTTAAAGACTTATCTCTCCAATTCCCAGCCAACACTTTGACATCCAATGGAAATTAAATTAATAATCATCAAAAGAGGGACGCTGTCTGTAAAGAGGGAGTTGAAAGAAGGATGTATTAGTAAATAGCGCCCTAAACAAACTCTTCTGAGTGCTGCTTGACAGAAAAATAATGAGGGAGAGAAGGAAAGTGATTAAGAATGCAGCATCCCTTATTTAACTAATCACTGGCAGAGACTGCTATTTTAAAAAGAAATGAAGTCACAAAACATTAGGAAACACAAAAAGATGATGAATGACTAGACAGACGTATGATCTGTATGTACATATATAGAGTGCAAGCCATCCATCAAGCAGAGGACCAGAGAACAGTTTTTGTTTCAGTCATTACATCAAAACTAGTTTCATTTCAACATTGGGCTAAGAGTTGAGAATCAGATAATGTCCTTTTATTCAAATAAATTCACTGTGGATGCTGCCATATTGTTCTTGGATTGTTCTATTATTCACGGCCTATGAAAGTGGCTTGAGGATTTTGTATAAGACTATATTGGACATTAAAGCTCAGCTTTGTAATATAATAGAAATAATATACAATGGCAGTCAAAAGTTTACATACACTACAGGGACAGTTATGCCAAGACAGTTTGGGGATCAAAATAAAATATGTTTGTATTATTTATACATTCTTTGCAGGTAAAAATATGAAAACATCTGATAGGTAAAAAATATTCATACACCACAGCTTGTATATGGTTCCATGTAAATGAAACTGAGTGTTCCATCAGTACAATGACCCTATATGTCAACAAGCTAGGTTGAATTGTATTATTAGACGTCTTATTTGTTGTATGTGACAAAGATGTACATTTCCCAATCATTCTGTCACAGAAAAGAACAGTTGTATTACTAAAATCCCCAAACTGCCTTGACACAAATGATCGCAACTGTATGCAAAATGTGTTTTAGAATGCACTTTCCTTTTACCACGCCAAATCTCGTGATCTTCCTTCAGATCTCTAACCAAGTCCCGAGTGAGTCCATCTTTACCAGCCATCAACAGCAGAACACCAACAGGGATTTATCTCTCTCTCACCCTCTCTATTCCTAATCTATTTTGCTTTATTAAAATGCCTTGCAAATACAATGCAGTGTTTCTAAAGCAAACAGAAGGGAAATTAAGAGATAAATACTATAGAGGAAATAAAAATAAAAGCATAAAAAATAGAGTAGGATCGAATCATAATGAAGAAAACGTCATTATTTTCATATTGCTCTGTGCTCATCTCCTCTGTTAAATTACATTCACACAAGTTCAATTACTCTTCCAAGTGTAAAAAACAAATGACAAACTTGGCGACTTCTTTTCCCAACTGTACACCCCAATGAGCCTTCGGGACATGCATATTTATAATGTCTTCTTTCATTCAGCTGTAATTAAAAAAGGAATAGTTAATTCATTGATGATTTAGTCATCCCGATGTTATCATGGGGGATACACTTTGACACTTAAGAATTTCTGAATCAATTATAGCTCTACAAAACTATTTACAGTTCAAATGTAAAAGCTGACCTAAGATATACAAGCACAAATATGTTCACAGTAAGTAAGTAAGTACATCGAAGCTAATATCTAATGAAACATGTTTATGTAAACACCTCAGTAAGTCTGTGTTCACTCATTGGATCTGTTTGTTTGTGTCTTTGTAAACAGAGGGGAAGCACAGTGTGAGCTTGTACACCATTACAGTAGAAATCACCTAACAATGAATCAGCTCTACAATTGTGTGCAGAACATCCCCATAAAGGGAAATGCAGTATTTCATTAAAAGGTGAAGGAATCGACACAGATTCACTCCTTTGACCCGTACACATCAGCCCTTTTTCTGAGCACCAAGATGTGTTACTGCACTTACTGCACTTGTTACACTCATGTGAATTGATGAACTGATTTAAAGAGTATTTCTACAGTTTCGGTGCCTTTTTTGGTCCACTTCAAGCACTCTGCAATCATACTAGTAACATCCTGATAATGTCATTTCAATCAAGACAATTTTAAAAGTAAGCTCATTTTCATTTTACTGTAAGTGGATGACCTTTTTTCAACATACTGGAAGCTTTGGGTTTGAGAATTTAGGGCTCACGTGTTCATTTTTGTAGTGTTGAGCAATTCTTACTAGTGCTAATAACCTGCAAAACATGCTTGTAAGATCAGTGTTTAATTAAATGTTTAACCTGTGTGCTGAGGATTTAGGTAAGTAATAAACCCCAAACCACAAGCTTTCAGTGCAACCCATAAGGCATCAAAGTCTAAGTCTAAAATGAAAATACAGAAAGACAAGAGTCAATCCCCAGCCCCATCTCCAATGGTACCTGTGAGGGATTTAGAAGTGCAGTCCTTTCCTCCGTGGGGACCTGATCCAGTGCCACTTAAAGAGCCCTCGTAGCTAATGCAGTCATAACAAAGCAGAGCTGTTCAAGGATAAAAAAGAAAAAATATAAAGAGAAAAGGGGCGATGAAAAATAGAGTCATGGGTTGCTGATTTTCTTTTTTTATATCAGTTAAAAGGCTTGGCTTTTTTTTTTTAAATTTGGGTTGCATATTAATATTCCAAAGCCGTATTCTCTCCAGGAACAGCCCTGTTTGATGTTATGGCTGTGTTAGCCATGCTGAAGCTCTGGAACCACAGGGACTACCTGAACCTACATGCACCTGCACAACCAATCATGCCCCCCAAGCAGCTTATGTATCATCTTAGTTTAAAACAGGCAGCAGTTGGATCAAAACAGCAAACAGTAGACTGGACACCTGCAAGTGAACTTAGCAGGTGCTTTAACAGAGGGAAGAAAAGAGAAGTGTTTAAAGCAGCAGCAGCAGCAGCAGCAACAACAGCGGCAAAGCCCTCAAAACCTGACAGGAGCCAAAATCTAATTTATTAGAGCTGGGAAACATCTGGGTTAGTTAAGCAGAAGAGAAACAGTTTCAGATTTACCGTGTTAAAAGCTTGAAATTTAAATAAGGCAACCCTTACAGAAATGCAGTCATGCCTAACTGGATTAGTTTACATGGTCAGATTCACTGTCTGAGCTTTTGACATCAGCCCTAACAGTAGCAGTACAGTAACAGGTAGAATTTCTTTTTTAAATTTAAAATGTATTTTAATTTGGATTAGGATTAAGAAGCTTGTATTCTGTCTGTTTCAAGAACAAATGCATTTCTATAATGATTTTGCAAGAAAGAGTAAAGCAGGGAGGCTGTTTTTTTCCAACAAAGGTCTTTTTATCATATACAGTATGTTACTCATTTGTCTTAGCTACCTCATATATTATGTTGATGGCATAATAAAGTTCAATCTCATGTCTCTGTCGTACCTGCAAAGGCTTTGGAAATCCTCTCTTTCTTCCACTCCCAGGGCTGGTCATACTCTTCAGGGGGTCGCTCGTCATCCTGGGGGAGTCGGCTTTCCCTGGGGCAGCGCAAGCGCTCAGGGTCAGAGTCTCCGCCGTTTTCGGCTGGCTCATACGGCGTGTCGTACAGGGGCAGCTGCCTCACCGATCCATCCTTAGGTCCTCGTCCACCAGATCGTATTTCTATAAACAGGGAGAAAGGCTGGTCGTTAATGCTGGGTTTCTGAAATAAAACTTTATAGATGAAAATGTCTCAGTGGGGGAGAAAACCGTCAGCATATGAGAAATGAGGATTTATGGCTGTAGATGCACTTACAAAACATTGAAGCAACAAATTTTATAAAGCCTGGCTGCACATTTCTTGTATAGCAGATGATAAATGTGTGGTGATATTTCAACTGATTTGACTAGGAGACAAAATACCCACATATGTACAGTTTCAGCTGCTCGCATCCTTGTTATTATATGGCTGAAATCACAGCCAATGGACATCAGTTTACAGGCTAAAGGGCACTAATAACATCAGACCAGAGAGATACATTTATTTTTGAGCAGCTGAGGCAACCAACTGTTAACATTAAATTTGTCCAAAAGTTGCCAGTGTTGGCACTGGGACCTCAAACTGTAGCCTAAATGCATTCTAACAACAGTTAGTTAGGCACTGCAATGCGAAGATGGCTATAGATGCTATAGACACTGTGTCCAGAACAATCTTATCTCTTCTGCTCATTTTATATCTGAAGTGTAAATTACCCACCAGCGATAATTAGGAAGAAAAGTTCTGCATGTTGATGGAGTGCATGAGTTCTGTACATGTGATGAACTGACGACAGAAGCGGGAATCAGAAGAGAGAGTTTAAAGGGGAGAAAAGGGGTATTGGGAGGCTGAGTACCTGCAAAAGCATACAGTGTAACCTCCCTGAATACAGCAGAACCACACAACAGTTCTGAACAGCCTTGCCCTGGGCTGCACATACCTGCTCTGTCAGAAGAAGGGTAACCAATTTCCTTTCCCACCTCCCTCTAGGTTTCCCCTCCAAAAATACAGCAAGTGTTAGAAAACAAACAATATTCTGATGACTTTGCCATTCTAAGAGCAAGGTAGCCCAGCGGGTTGGAAAAAGGCCCCTCCTGTTTGTAGAAAGACTCCATGGCAATCTGTGCAACTGTCGTCAACAGAGACAGATCAACTGGCTGACCACTGAGCAGCATCAGCATACTTCACCTCAAGATAGACAGTTTTCAAATAACTTTACCGCCTCAGACGGAGGTAGGAGATTTTCTCTACAGCAAAAAAAAAAATCCAAAGGTGTACTATGAGAGAGGACTTACGGTGCCAGAAAAGAAATTGCTCAAGCAAAAAGCTGCTAGTCTCTCAATGTGGTGTGGATTTTATCTATCGTAGTGGTTGGGCAAAAAGAAATGAGGGTGTAACGGCATTTCACCTTGTGTAATCTTCACACAATGCATAAAGGGACCCACATGTTTTGCACTTTGGAATTGCTCGTAAATGCACCAGTAAACACTTCCTGGAGCATTTTTCAGTTATCTGGTGTGTCTGTTTTGAAGAGTCCATACTTTCTACTGTATACATATAAAATCATGTATAACATAGACGCTGCCTTGAATAATTCCTTGCCCCTGTATGAAATGAAAGTAAAAGAGCAGTTTTTCCTGAATAAGACTTTTCCCATATAAATGTTGGATGTAAGGTTCAGAATGATGATACATATGCATATATTTATGTTTCTCCATTCATGTTGTAAATCTGCTTAAAATCGCCTGACCTAAACTAAGATGTATGCACACCCTTTTATTCTGCATGAAAGGAGGTGAAACAGACCTGACTCCTAATGAAGCATCATGCCCTTGAGAACCTCTCCTCTTCTCCCCTTTCCTCCGCCTCCTCTCTCCAATCTCTCTCTACTCATATGAAGTTGTTAGCAGCCTGCACCCTTCCTCCTGGGCCACATGAAGCTGTTAGTGGCTAGCACCACCATAGAGTAATGCAATGTGAAGAGAATGAAATATTATGCCACACTACTGCATAATTGCCTCTTAGCCCAAGGGAGCTCTTGCGGAAAAATGAGCAAAGCGTTGAGCCTAATGGAGCTACCCGCCGGTGGTGGTGGTGGAAGTGGAGGGGTTGAGTGAGGTGTAGCTGCCAGATCCCGTATCGCAACGTAATCCTGCATTAGGCAAACTTGCACTCTTTGATCTAGCAGTTAAAAGACTTGGTATTACGAGATCCTGGCATGATTAGGTCCTACCTCCCCTGCAGAAGAACAAATAACTGTAGAAGAGGGTGAAAGAAGCAAGGGGAGGCATACGGAGGGGGTTCAATGAGAGTGGGAGGGGAGGAGGGTAATATTGGTGGGGTGGTGAGTACATCTTGTGGGGAGAACCCTTTAATTGAAGGCACGCTGCCTTCGATAAACTGCTGCGGTGGATTGAGACTCCCTGCTAGCTCCAAAGAATGAGGCCTTGTGTGTGGAGATATGAGCCCTGTTGACCTTCTTCCCTTCATCCCACTGTCTTTTTTAAATTTCTTTCATCCTTCCAACCACCCTTCCTTCCTTTTATCCTTCCATCCTTCACTTTTTCAGCTCCTGTTAGGGCATGCTTGGTAAAGTGGGTGGGGACATGTCTGTCTAGGCAAATTGCAGTGATTGGCATGCAATGGGGTTGCATGTTGCAACACAGCTGCAGTCCATCTTCCGTCTTTGACCTCTACCCTTCCTTTGAGGGTCAGAGGTCAGTCACCACACCCTCCCTTGATATACCTCATACCTCCCCCTCCCCGGATGTCAGAGTTCTTGTGCAGATGCTGCACTTCCTCTCTTTTGCCTTTTTGCCCCTTGCCTACTTGGCCCTGTCAACCCCCACATTCAGACCCATAAAAGCTTGCAATATTTCATTTATTTTCCCATTTTTAACAACTTGTGTATAAGGTGAAGAAAAGGAGACATTTTAACATAATCTATACAGCTCCAAAAAATCCAAGGTTTTGAGTTAGTAAGTATTTTAAGAAACAATTAAACTTCTTGAAAGTGTGTCACACTCTAGTCCTCATGTAGCAGCAGCAGCAGCAGTAGAACTGACCACAACCAGCTGTTTAGTGCCAATGAAAAATATGTGTGAGGGGACAGCAGAGCCTACTGCTGAGAACCAAACAGCTGCATTCGAGAATGAGAATGAGAAAAGACATGGATACCGACTGCCATAAAAGCTCAACTGAAATTCACCACTCAGTTGAATGTAGAGTCCCACATGCGAGTTAAAAATCCGAAGCAGTGAGGAGAAGCACTAAGCTTTGAAACAAGTGACAGATCCAGTCTTTGTAATCGTCTTCCTCTCTGGTTCATGAACTAGAGAGATTAATCCCATGGGAGAGAGAGGAATATATTCCTTGCAATAAATCCAGGGAGGCTCCTGTTCCACTTACAACAGGAGGAGCCCTCTGGGCATATTATCATGACAGTGCATGGGCAGGCAGAGAGCTCTGGATTAAATCAAAAAACATTAACTGCAACCAACCTGGCAGCCGCATCCTGCTGCACATAAAGGACTGACCACGCCATCCAGTCCTCATCATCCAGGCCACTCCTGTCTGATTCATCCTTCCTCTCCATTATTGCCAGCCAGTTAAAGTGACTGCATTTGCAAGAAAGTAGCAAACAACTGCATAACTGTTCTTTTATTGCAAAGCTAAAGCTTGAATATGTAAAGGAAAAACACATTTATCTGCCTCTCTGGTTGACTGCCACCCACCCACTCCCACTGAGCCAGAGAGAATTTGCTGCTGCCAAGCGCTTGCAGGAGCACAGTGAATATCTGGATTTGATTGAGGGGATCTCTTGTGCACTAGTGAAGGATTAAATGCGATTGACTTTACACCCCAGGAAAACAATGGCCAGAAAATACCCAGGCAAGGGTAGGGATTCAAGGATTTGCTCTGCCTGCTCTGGCAGCTAAGTCACTCTTAAAGAAATCCTGAACCGGCGTATCTATTATCATTTCAGAGGGCCGGGTTATTAACGCGGTGGATCTTTGTGGAGTGCATCTGGAGAGAAATACTCAGCACTGTTCAATGTATTAAAACAGATAAATGACTTAACAGATGCTTTCTGATTCACACACAGGAATGACTAAACCTGGTGCTGCACATGAATACTATTGCTAAAATGTATTTTAGCGAGCTGTGTGCCATATGTGACACTGGCCCAGCCAAGCCTGTTCCAAGACAAAGACAGAAAGATGTTAAAAAAAGGTTCCAGGGTTGATTAACAAAGCCGCTGCAGCAGGGCTCATATCTAGCTGTGAGACTTTTCGGTAGCTTTGATTTCATTCTCTTTGATTGCCCAGGTCTGTGCAGAGCAAACAGGGTCGATCTTGCGACGGCAGTCAGGGATTTGAGCTATATCGCGGGCCACCCACAGGTATTGTGTGTCAGTCAGAGAACTGGCTGACAAGCGAAGGTGTTTGCTCCTTGACCCGTGGCGGCCTGCTGTTGAGTGTCATTCCGCTTAGTGAGTGGAGCTGAGATGAGGCTCTTGCCGCTGACTGTTCCCCACAGACCTCTGGGAGAATGGTTACGATAAGCAAAGACAAAACAACCCTGTCAGCTTTGTGCTCGCATGTCAATTTTCATTTCATTTTCATGTCTCATAGTGTTATAACAGAACAAAAGCGGCAAAGACAAAAGGAATAAATTAGCATGTATGCTTCGGTTGTCTTTTTTTCTTTCACAGCTTTCACAATTTCAACATTCCTAACTTGATTTAGAAACAATTTGTCTGCAAAGTGTGTGCAATCAATAAGCTTTGATTTTTAGAGTCATGTATTTCTGTGAACATGACAGTCCTGTCCATCTGCGAGGGGGATGTGTGTCTGTGCTTGTGTGCTGCTGCGTCTCCATCAGCCTCCTGCAGACACAACAAAAGCAGCCATGCCGTTTGTTCTCTCTGTATCCTTCGTCCTCCTGGCTCACACTGTGCCGAGCTTGTGGTGGGTACACTCTGCATGCCTGTCACACACACACGCACACACGTTTATATGTACTTTTGGGAAGCCTGGAAGCAGAGTCTATTCATGCTCGGCCCAGAGAGGTGAGTGTTTTGGGTCACGCCGCACTATTTTTGGGTTGTGCTTTCGTATGAATGCCTTATAGTTTCAGCTGGAAG